AAGCTTACTCCTTTGCATTTGGTGTTGTGTGAAGCATTTAAGACATCGCACTTAGGGTGCTAGGCTCACAAGGTTTCAAGGATCACAAGCAACAACAAGGTAAGTTATTCTATCTTCCGTTCAAGTTAAATATTGTTCTCCATGTATGCTAGATAGGAATATAACCTTGGAATTCAACTTTGCATGATACCTAGACAAACATAGATCCAAGGTTATTAGGGTTGCATGTACACTTAGGAAGTGTTAGAATGCTCAAAACCCATCAGAAGGATCATAAATAATCGAAAAGAAGTCTGAGGATGTGCTTCTGAAATCAAATCGCAAAGGAGAAATGTATTTGCTGAATCTAAATCCCATCAAAGGGAAGCCAGCAATTTGATTACTTGCGAAAGCTTCCACTAACGATAGCTGGTTATGGCGCAGGAGACTCACATCTCAATTTTAAAGATATCAACAAGCTCGTTCTTTGAAATCATGTGTGAGGGTTACCACTCTTAAAATTTGACAAAGAACATCTTTGTACAACCTGCAAAATGGGAAAACATAGCAGGAAGAGTCATCCAACAATCGTGAGTACGAAAGTCATTGAGCCACTTGAACTTTTGCATATAGATCTTTGTGGTCCTTCTACAATTGAAAGATTCGGTGGTAATATATATATATATATATATATATATATATATATATATATATATATATATATATATATATATATATTCTTGTTATTTTAGATGATTTTTCTAGATTCACTTGGTTGCATTTTCTTAAACAAAAATCAGAAGCCACTCCTAAGCTCAAAAACTTCATAAAGTAGATAGAGCTTCAACTGCGAAAGCGTTCGTAATATCCGCAGTGAAATGGAACAAAATCGATCTATTATCAATAAGAGATTCTCTGTCACCACATATGAAATTATAAATAATAGAAAACCTAATGTCAAGTTTTTACATGTTTTTGGTTCCAGGTGCTTCATCTTCAACTCAAAGGAACAAATGAACAAATTCGATGTGAAGGCTGACGAAGGTAACTTTCTAGGGTATTATCTAACTTCTAAAGCATATCAGGTTTTCAACAAAAGATCCAAAACAATTGAAGAAACCTATTATGTTACGTTCGATGTCAATTACACGAAGAAGTTTCAGAAGAATGATCGCCCAACAGAGGATTAAACTGAATCCTGCTACCATCCCACTCTCTAACCTTTATGAGGAGTTACTGAACTTATTTGATGAGCCAGAAAAGGCAATCTCCTCAGAGTCCAAAGCAGTAGATAAGAATGAAGACGAGTTGAAAAAAATCATTGACGACGCTACGAAAGAAATGGAACAGGAACACACCACTACGAAAGATCCAGAAGTTCCAGTTCAACCTACAAATGCGAGTGTTACATCGCAGAGGGAGGGTTCTGCTTCAACCTCCTCATATGGTATACTTGTTCAAGGGAAGAACGAAATTATTGATGTAAACTTAGAGCCACCTTTTCAGGGGGAGAATTTGAATTCAGAAGATGATATTCATACATCATTCAAGGGGGAGAATGAAAATGTGAATGATGATTCAGATGTAAAAACAGAATTTAAAGAAGTGAATACGGAATTGGATCCAACATATGATCCAAATTACCCTCCATTGGCTAAATGGACCAAAGATCATCTAAAAACTCAATTCATAGGAGAGTTGTCTTTAGGTCTTTTTACGAGAGCTCAACAAAAGGCGAAGCGAACTGCACTATTCTCTAAAGTGCGATTTTGCATGTTGAATTCCTTTATCTCCAAAATTGAACCTAAAAATGTTCAAATTGATCTTGATCATTCTGATTGGGTGCAAGCAATGCAGGAGGAGCTCAATGAATTCGAACGAAACAATATTTGGAGACTTATTCCCACTCTAAAGGATGCATCCATTGTTGGTCTTAAATGGTTATTTCGGAACAAAATGGATAAGGAAGGTAATGTGATAATAAATAAGGTGCAACTCATAGTAATGGGATATTGTTAGGAAGAAGGCATCGACTATGAAGAAATCTTCGCACCCGTTGCAAGGTTAGCATCTATTCGTATCTTTCTGGCATATGCAACACACAAGAACTCTAAAGTCTGCTAAATGGACATTAAGTGTGCATTCCAAAATGGGAACTCGAAGAAACAGTGTATGTGGAACAACCACCAAGGTTCATAAATGAAAAGTATCTGAACCACTGTTACATTCAGGACAAAGGTAGTTTGCAGTCTAAAGCAAGCTCCAAGAGCTTGGTACAAAACTCTAACTCGTTTTTTAAAACATGATAAATTTAAACAAGGATCTATCGACCCAACCATCTTTTGCAAGAAAGATGGTGACCATTTGCTGATCGTCCAAATTTATGTTGATGACATCATCTTCTGATCAACTAACCCCAGCTTAACAGTGGAGTTCCGAAAGTTGATGGAAACTAAATTTGAGATGAGTTCCATGGGTCCGATTTACTTTTTCTTGGCTTGAATATAAGACAGAGTACAAAAGGTATCTTTATCAATCAGGAGGCTTATCAATGACCTTACTCTCCAAGTTTGGAACGGTGGGAGACTCAAAAGTGAAGGTTCCAATGGTATTCAGAATGAAAATACTCTATCTCTGGCTAGACCGACAATGGATATGGCTCTTTATCGTCAAATGATAGGGTCATTGATGTATCTAACTGATAGTCGTCCATATATCATGTTTTCTATTGCAAATATGCTAGGTTTCAAGCTAATCCCCATGAACCTCACATGACCTCTATTAAGAACATCTTTAGGTATCTCAAGCGGACATGCTCATTGTGAATTTGGTACCCTTCGTGTCCAGGTTTGTTTGTGTAAGATATTTCGGATGTTGATCTTGGAAGTTGCAGTCTTAATAGAAAATGTACAATGGAAGGATGCCAATTTAATGATGGAAAACTCATAAGTTGGCAATCAAATAAGGAAAAGTGTGTCTCTCTATCAAATGCTGAATCAGAGTACATAGCTGCTGCATCCTGCACCTTACAAGTTATTTGGATTCAGAGCCAACTTTGTGACTATGACATCAACATGAAACATATCCCTTTATATTGCAATTCTGAAAGTTCCATGCAAATTGGTGTGAATGCTCGCAATGACTCGTAAGGTTTTTGATTGGCATGCGAATTGGTGTGAACGCTCGCAATGACTCGTAGTCACTGTTTTTCCTACGAATTGTTGCGAGCGCTAGTAATGACTCTCAGTCATTTTTCTGTCTTGCGAATCAGTGTGAACACTCTCAGTGACTCGCAATCAACTGTTCACACTGCTAATTGGTGTGAATGTTCACAGTGCTCGTAGTCTACTGTTCATTCGTGGTTTGGAATTATCATGTATCCTTTGTACATTTTTGTTACTTTATTATGTTTTTATTTCTTTTTCAGAAAAACGAAAGTTCAAAAATATTTTATTTATCTTGTTTTTTTTTATTTATTTTTCAAAACAGTAAAATCCAAAAATATTTCATTTCTTTCTGTTTTTATTTCTTTTTTCAGAAAAACAAAATTACAAAAATATTTTCTTTATTTTCTTCACTTTTATTTTATTTATTTCAAAAATACCAAACATATTGGATAATTAAGAAGGTTTCTAGTCAAGAATCTTGGTGATCTCAATTACGAATGATGAGGCAGGAATAAACTTTCTTATCTATGCACTAGTTAAGTGTCCCTAGAAGCATGTTGTTGTGTATAGACCAAAGCCTCAACGACTTTGTATGTTGAAGCCTTAATGAATCAATAACCCCAATCGTTTCTTCCCAGTAAGGCTCTTAAATTCTCATAAGTCATGAGCTACTTGACTCTTCTCACAAAGAGTTAAGGGTTCACTACTTAGTCACTTTAGCATAATAGAGGTATATTCTTTATTTGGAACCATCTCCTACCCTTTCTCCAAACTTTCACATTCACAATTGTAACCCTTGAGACTCTCAACAATTGTTGCTGAGGTTTATGGTTATAACCAATTTTGTGTGTATGACCATAAATTCGTTATCACCACGAATTAGGTGAAACCCAAATCCAACAGACATATACAAAGTGCCTACTCAACTGCCAATTATCAAAAAGGAGATTCATTGTATTTGGTGGTCTGTCCCACCAACGATCCCACCAAATACGATGGCTCTGTCCTCTGGGCTCAGTTCATGCAAAGTACTCTCTCAACAACTCGACATAGTGTAATTTCCTATGCTCGCATCTGGTTAATGGTTTTTGAAAGGGCGATCAACAAGTTGAACACCCCCTATCTGGAAGGGTCGTCTGTGGCTTCAATTTAGACCTTTCACATCACCAACATCATCCTCGTTGACAACTCAAAATTCAACTTCATCGGTTCGATTTGTGTAGCAATGCTTCATGAAGTAGCTGCTATGAGTGATGTACTACGAGCCTATCACAGTCTACCCATCTCAGGCTTTCAAGCATTAACAATCAAAATGCGAAAAGCCCTAGATGAGGCGGATAAACCCAAGAAGGGAGGGAAAAAAAGGGCACGAAGGTTGGTCCATCTGAGCCAGCCCCATCTCCAAAGAAGACTGCAAAACGAAAGCCTGAAGCTTAACCATCCTCACCAACTAAAGCACCAAAGATAACGAGAGTCAAGAAGATGTCTCGTCGCACACGAAAACGATGTTACATTTCAACTGAAGGTTTTAGAGTCGGCAAATACGAACCCTGAGATAACATTTAATATTCCTGTCTCCGTTCCTATTACAAATTATTTCTTTGAAAATGTCTCAATCCCTTCTCCAACTACCACTATTTCAACACCCATTTCTATTGCCTAATGCCCCCTATTTCCTTGGGCGTTTCATAATCCCAAACACCTCTTTTCACTGATTCTAATGCAACCACCACAACATCTAATATTCAGCCTCCAGTTACTATCAAGGCATTTGATGCAGGGACAAGAGATTCAGGTTTCGCAGCCGGTCATTCAACACCACCCGCTCCTCTTTTCCGTTAGAATGATCCATATATGATCTATGGTGATGATGATGAAGACTCCACAGGATTAACCGACAGTGCATTTAACATCAGGCCTGAAAGTGATGACGAAGCTCCCGTCAAGATAGGGAAACTCAAGGTGATTCATGAAAAAACTAGATTCGTCGCTTCAAGCTTCTAAGGCATCATCCATTGAAGATTATTCGCAAGCCACGATAAAGTCCCTTCTTGATACCCTTACGAAAAATCACTCTGCCAACCTTGAAAAGATGAACAAGGCGGTAGATGCTTCTTCTGCCATTTGCAACAACATAAGCAAAAAAGTCGATAAACTAGTTTCTGATGCTCGTGTATTCATGGAGAAATTCTAGAGCTCCTTAGATTCCAACACCACGAAGCCTAATGAAGTCATTTCTAGCATGGGTTTAACCCTTAAAATAGAGAAAGTGAAACTTCAAGAGGTTCGCACTGGTCTTCTAACTAACCATGCTGAGTTCAATTCATCCGTTTTCTCAAAGATCCCAAAGCTTCAGGATGACTTAGGCATGGAGAGAAAAATCATGGATGCTCATTCTTTAAAGATTGAAAAGGTGAAAGTCTTGACAGTCAAGTTAGAGAATACTTAAAAACAAGTCATTGATCTACTATCTGAGAAAGAAATTATGAAGAGTTTTATAGTTGATGTCAATGGCCTCGTTTCAGATATTATTGAGGCTCGTGACTCAATGATCAAAATAACTGTAAAGAAGAATCTCTCTGGGAAACTCAGGCCCATCTTTGCCATACTTCACAGACTGGAAGGTTTCTGGAATCCGGTTCTATTTTGAAACAAGGGGGAGAAGGTGTGACACAATCAAAGAAGGAAGACCATAAACCTTCAGTCAATTCCATTGTCAATCCGGAAGGCGAAACTTAGCTTAAAGGCAAAGAAAAGCTTTTCATTGAAGTGCCAATTATCGATAACAGTGAAGATAAGGAGCCTGATGAAAATGAGCTGAAAAAAAAAGAAAGGAACGTGAAGCTTTAGATGGATGAGAATCAAAGAATAGTTCGCGAAGCTCAAGCGAAAGGAAAAGCTGAATTCGAAGCTCAGGTCACGATGGAAAGCCAGTGTAGACTCTGAAGCGAATTCAAAGCGAAGTTTTGGATATGCCGAGTCAGTATTGGCTGGAATCGATTGTGTCATTCGATCTTCAGAATACACAATATTCGTAGAGGGACCTACCAATAACTCCGAAAGCGTTCAGGTTTTGTAGTTTTGTGAAAGTAGCGAATGTCCCATCTATAGATAGTCGCACATACCACTTACTTTTCTTGTTCTATCTCAAGCATATGAAGCCATAGTGGAGACGTGGAGTGCGAGCAAAATTACGGCTACGAAGGTCACTGGTCCAATTGAAACCGACAGCTTCCTAAATGCGAAGTTCAAGGTTGTGAGAGGTTCTTCCAGTTAGGTCCATGAATTCACTCTCGCTGATCTACCATCCCTTAACCCTTATGACTGGATAATGATTTACAACTTTTTGTTAAGAGATGGATAGAAGTATGAGCCCGTTATTGCTCACATAAAGTAGATGTTAATCTCGTACATTCAAGAGGTAGGAAAAATTGTGACAACCCGAATTTTCATTCGTACAAACCCTACAGTCAAGCACCTCAAATAAACGCCAAATACTTTTCTACTAATTTTTAGCCGGTTTAAAGTCCGTTTGAGTTTTTTTTAATAATTATTCATCAATCGAACGTATAATAGGAAGTATTTTCTAGGATATCGGTGTAACAATAAATCAATCAACACCTTGGTTAGGTCTTCACGGCCAAACAAATGGGGTTTAAGCCGTGAACTCCCTTAGGGCCATAAACTCATGCTTAAGGTATGAGTTTACTCTTCATTATTTCATTCTCCAGCTTTCAAACTCAAGAACTCCCACCATTCTCTCTCAAGTATCATAACCCCTTTCTAAGTGTTTCTTCACTTGATTTGTTGTTATAACCTTTCACCTAGTTGTTATACACCATTTCATCCATGAATTCTTCATTTTTACTTAGATCTTCAAGTGTTCTTCCAAACACCAAGAACACACACTAGTGTTCTTGGACCTTAAACACCCAATCAAGCTTCTATACTGTAAGTACTCTTGTCTTAGCTTTTCCTATACATAAACCAACTAGCTTACACCTAAACATCACCAAGAAAACATGATCAAAAGGGAGTTTACAACCAAGGAACCTCCTTGGGCTGTAAACTCTATTTAAGTGGGCATTTGTGCCCTAGTCCCTTCCTAAGCCTTGGATACTAGTGTAGATCACTTCCTTGAGGAGTATAGGACCTTAAACAACAAACAGAATCAAGCACACACGAGTTTACGACTGTAAACTCATGGGGAATGGACCATGGGCCGTAAACTCTAAAAGGTGGTGCAAATTGTGCCACTATTACTTCTTAAGGCTTGGAATTGATCATAGGATACTTAACCTTAACTTGTAAGAACTCAAAACACCAAATGGTACTAATTACCATGAGTTTACGGTTGTAAACTCAAGGGGGAAATGACCATAGGCCGTAAACTCCTTAAATAGTGGTCCTTGGGCCATAAACCCAAATGCAATGCCATATCACCTTTAGATGGAACCCTTTGGTACTTCTAACACTTAAACCAAAGTGTTTTCCACACTTTAGGGTGTTTATACTTACTTAAATTAGTGTTATGATCACTAATTAGATGTACACATATATCTTTATATGTTAATAGGATCATTGTGTGTTTTCAAGTCTCCACTTGACACCTAGCACCTTGTCCGGCACTTCCATACAATCCACTCACTATAGGTGAGTTCATACCCCTTAATTAACCTTTTAAATGTTTTTAAATGCTTTCATGGGGGAATACAAGTTGAATTATACTAGTTATTATATCAATCACATGTGATTAATAACTAGCATACAAATGGATTTACTATACTTTAAACTGTTTTATCAACAAAACTACTTGAGAATGATTACCAGATACTGTTACATGTTAGGCTCTTTATAAAACTTAGTCTTAGTTTCCAAATATGTACTTTAAATTCTTTAAACTCTTATATTGTCAAATCATGTCCAATTCATATATAGTTATATAAGTAAGGTTTGAAGGACTTAGGACTGATAATACACTCCATTTCTTGTTCCTTGTTTGGTTATGGACTTAGAGTACCCTATTGTTTGTCCGAGTGTCATTTGATCCTTAGTTATATATCATGTGTATATGTATAGACATAAAAGCTTGTTATCTTATTTCAATACACTCAGATATACACACAACATTACCATTAAACAATAAAAGGTATAGTTTAGAGTTATACTACTTACTATTTCTAGTACAAAGAAACATAGAAAGAGTTATTTCATACAAGAGTCATTACTTACTGTAAACAATAGATACACTACAATATACAACTGAACACACTATAATGAGCGTCAGAGAGAACATACTACTCACTAGACAGAGAGAACATACACTAGTACATATTATTCATACACACTATATACTATACTAGAGAGCTTACTGTGATGAGAATCAGGGGAGTCATACACTACGCTAATACATACACTACATACACACTATAACATAAATGTGAGGCACTACTTCGGGGCATGGCATCTCTGTCATGGCTCATCTTGTGTTCAAAGTCTCTTGGCGGGAGAGCATACATTTGTGTATAGATCTATACTGGACTGACCGTCCTACACCTTGCTGCTAGCTACAGTAGGACTGGCAGGTCTTCGGGTGATGAATGTCATAACATCTCGACGTCTTACATCGTGATGTTTCACTAGGTCGATCAAGTATGGTTACAATTACATCACATTATACCTTAATTAACAATTGGTTTAAGGTAGTTAGTACAATAGTAGTTATAATATTATTATACTACAGTACTTCATTATTTTCCCTTTACATCTACTTTGTGATCTCCTCACAATAAAGAGTAATGTAAAAACTATATGTTCACTAATGATAGTCAAGTTTGGGAAAATACTCACTTTTACAAAGAACAAACATACAGTACACTTGATGCCTTGGTAGAAGGCTGCTTTTAATGGAAAATATAGGATTTTCTAAGAAATACAAACAATTGTTATAAACATTTTACATACTTTTACACTCAAACACTTACAAACATTTTCATACAAATGATGACACTAAATACTTATGAACTCACTAGCTTTAACACATATAAACTCTTTCAAAATAACTTGTATTCTTAGGAGACTCACATGACAGGTACCGAGGCCAGCTTTTGAGAAGATGGAGCACAGACAAGACTCATCTTTTATTTTGATTCATATTTTGGTGTCTTATAAACCACAGAACAAACTTGGATTAAAATTATATATTTAATGCAATGGATGATGTTGTTTACTTGTTTACTATTATTCTGTGTTATGACTGTACATGACGTCCTCCGCCCCAGAACATTTCCGCCGTTCTTGGTTTTGGGGTGTGACAGATTGGTATCAGAGCATCGTTTATAGTGAATCTAGGATATCAAACCATAAAAGATATACTAACTATAAACATAATGGGATTAAAATACTCTAACCAAGAATTTATACTTTTAAATAATAAAATATTTAACTATGTATATATGCCTGCATTCATACTAAAATCAATGTCACTATGACAAAAACAAAAGTATTGCGATTGTTGAATATCACAAGTAAGCTCGGGGATGTATGGTCAGTCTTAGGAGTGGCATAGCTTACTCAACTATGCTGGTCCGAGGAGTGATTAGCATATGCCCAATAATGGTTATGATATGGCAACAAGTCTAAAAACTTACCAACACTACTACAAAGAAAACACTAGAATAGAACATAAGTCGAAAATACTATAGGAGTATTTTGTATTACTATAATTACTTATCTGAGAACTAAAAAGGTCTCTATCAAGTAGGTCAATAGTTACTAAGTGGAGACGTTGAAGTTTTATGTATCTAGGATGTCATAAACTTAGAATCTGTGATCTTTGCTTTACTCCCCGTTCCTTTTTTAGTTGTGGGTTTAGAGATAGGGTCACTTATTCGAAGGTCTATCTTGTTTTAAATACATATAATTGGTATGCACTATGCAAGTATTGAAGTAACTGATAAAGATTATCTTATAATTATCTTAAGTAGTACGCCTATTTATATAAGATTCTTATACCCCTTTTCTCGCATAGATATCATGGTTGGATTTCATCATCATAGCGACCCATACTTCCCAAACCACGACAATGCTGGATGGCTTGAAGAAGAGCCCGAAGATGAGCATCCAATCCCTTTGAATGATCACCTCGCAGAAGGCTTCTCGGATGGATCTGACTACGAGCCTAAAGTCAACAACCTACCACAAGTAGGTCAATGTAACATCCGGATTCCTAGTTATATTATTTTATTCATTTATTTTGGACTTTGTAGAGGAACTCGGCGAGTTGGTGCTTAGACTCGCCGAGTAGGGTTGCAGATTCTCATCTGGGTTCATGACCGGACTCGGCGAGTCCATGAGTGGACTCGGCAAGTCCACGCTGTTTAATGAAACCCTA